CCTGGATGCGAGAAGTTGAAGCTAGCTTCTTGTGCAGGGTTGACTTTATTAGAGGCAGTGGTTTAGTTCAATTCAATTTATTTCTATAGCTCCAGTTCACAACAAATCTCATCTCAAGGCACTTTCCAGTTCACCAGATAGCACTTTGAGATTTGAAATCAAATGTAAAGTGCATGATAAATAAAATTCATTATTATTATTATTACCAGATCATCCAGTCAGATTGATTCATCTAAGGAAAACCAGCTGATTATATCGAATTATTGACTCTTCAGCAATCCCTCACACTAAGCATGCTTGTAGCGACAGTGGAGAGGAAAAACTGAACCTTTGAACCTGAAGAAAGCTCCAGCATGACCAGGCTCAGTGTGAGCGGCCATCTGCCGAGGCCGACTGGGGTTCAAGGAGACAGAAGTAGACATAGAAAAAAAAGCATAGATACATTAGGCAACTGTCAACCAGCTCCACAGGCGGCCCCGTCCAGGAAACACACAGCCAGGCAGACGAGCTCCGAGCCAGCTCCCATGTCAGAGGATGAAGAGAGCACATCCAGTTAGTCACAGTCAGAGAAACAGGACTACACTGGAAAACAGGCCGATCTCCAACATCTAGAACAAAGGTGTTGATGGCAGCAGCACAGCTGATATTTCTCTCCAGGATGGAGTCACAGCCAAACAGGAACAGACCAGATGAAGCTACTATGAGAAAAAGCAGAGGGAGCAGAAGGTTAGAGATTGAACTAACAGATTCTGCAGAGTGGGAGAATAGAGATAGAATGAAGCAGAATGATGAAAAAGGGGTCCCTATGTCCTCCAGCAGTCTAAACCTATAGCAGCATAACTATAGAGATAGCTCAGGATAACCTGAGCCACTCTAACTATAAGCTTTATCAGAGAGGAAAGTTTTAAGCCTAGCCTTAAAAGTAGACAGGGTGTCTGCCTCACGGACTAAAACTGGTAGTTGGTTCCACAGGAGAGGAGCCTGATAACTAAAAGTTCTGCCTCCCATCCCAAATTCTAGGAACCACTTTTTACCAGTTCAAAAAGGAAAGGTTAAGGTACATAGAGAAGGAGACCTCAGATTTGCTAGAGAATCTGTCCTGGGAATCTCCCACAATGAGAAGGAGGTAAATTCCTGGGTTTCCCTGTTTGACTTGCTACGTCCTGATCCAATCTCCAGTAGGATGTAGACATCCTAAAGATCCAAACAATCTTTCTGAGTAATCCTTAGATTTTAAATGTCGTTTCTGCCTTAAACTCAATGTTGGCCGTCATTGTTTAGAGCGCTCTCCCAAAAACCAGGACTTATGCCAAATAGGACGTCTCGGATAGTTCTAGATCCAAACTTTGTCCTTCCGAACTGCTAATCAACTACATACCCAGATATCGCAGCAGATAAGCAAGCCTGCACGTCATTATTCCTTCCTGTGATCAGGAAAGTATCAACTGCAATAGACTACAATAAAGCTCCACTTGTCCCGGAGGTTGGATACATTAGCAGGTGAGCCACTCCACTGAGCCCTGGCTATGAGAAATAAGAGCATATACTGTTTACCCTTTAGAGGGGTTTTATTGCAGCATTGAACTGGTGCTCAGTAGAACAATGGCTGTCAGAAAACACTGGCACAAATATCTTATCTCCACTCATTGGAACGTAGCCAGTTCTTCCATATGTTTATCTCACAGCACAGCTTTGTATCTAAAACACCTTACCTGGGTAATAAAAGATAAACCGCTCCGAGAGCACAGCTGACTTTCTCTTTGTTTTCCATGTGACTGTGTTACACCGACTGACGCGGAAATAGTTTCAGATTCAGATTCCTCCACCATTATTGTTAGCAGTTAATTTTTCTGCATTGGTTTGTCTGCTTACAAAATGACAGTAAAGCTATGATGGATTCTTGAGGTTTTTTTCTTGTGTGTGTCTAGCAATGTCTTAGCCCATGTTAACCCTGTAATGCCAAATGTATCATATTTGATACATACGGTTTCTGCAGTGTTTTGCGTCTGACACCTTTTGCATAATTTATGGCAAAAACTTTGCTCAAAATCCTATTGTACACAATCAGATATACCTGATAACAGAGGGCAGAAGACTACACAAAAGATAATATTGACTTATTGTATAGTAATAGATTATTAATATCAAAAATCTATTTCTGTTTATTCTTTTTACATATTTTGTTAAAAGGCCAAATAAGGACTTCAAACCAAAAAAAAACAAATTTTCTGTGTTGTTTTATTCTTGGATCGGACTTTAAAGGGTTAAGACCCGTTAAATCGGTGGAGGACGTGATCCAGAATTAGAAATTTTTTCTTAAGATTTCGTAATAATTCGATTTCGTCATAATGAAATGATCTTTGACTATATCTATTTTTTACTTTAAGTAAATAATCGTTATTGAAATAAGTGCATAAATGTGTTTTAAGATTTCTTTTGACCCCATCGTTCATCTTCAGTAAAAGCTGATGTTAAGAGTCCATTTTGTTGGATTATACTGTTTAAAGTCTTGCTTCTAAGCTCACATCTGGGTCTGTTCAATAGCTGAAACTCTCTCGTCCCTTCTGTGTGGCAGCTAAGCCTCTTAAAGCGTTCTGCTGCCACCTAGTGGACTGGAGTAAGAAAGATAGAACTTTGCTCTCGTTATATTTAACATAACCAACAGTTTTTCTTAATTTATTAGATCATATTGCAAATGCAATTGATTCTAATAAAGGCAGTTTTTAGTTTTGAATGACATGACAAATGAACTGGAACTCCTTTAGCCTTTGAGTGGGGGGTAGGGTTGTCAAAAGTATCCAAACTCAAAAAAGTATCGATACTGAAATGTTGTATCCGGATACAATACTCGTTTTTAAAAGTATCGATACAGTGCCACCACCAGTGGCACCTAAGCAGTCATTCATCTAAAGTGCAGAATAGAGGACAATACACTTTCAGAACACTGTGTGATTGAATAATTCTGTGCACTTTTCAGTTTCAGACTTTGTTTTTGTAAGAGGTGCAGCTGCTGAGAATTATTTTAGTTTCTTAACCGGTTCGGCTAGTATCATTGTTATGTGTGCAAAGCATAGCCAAGGAAGGAACACTTAATTTGAATTTTATAAGTTTTTTATCAAGCTTGCTTAATATTGTGCACAGCATACAACCTTTATTGTGTTTATTTATTGTATTTTATTTATTAATGAATATATTTCTGTAGACTTTTGGAGTCTTTGTTTTTATCCTTGTGGTATCGAAAATGGTGTCGAGTATCGAATATTTTCCTTAGTATCGGTATCGAGTTGAAAAGTTTAGTATCGTGACAACCCTAGTGGGGGGTTAGAGGAACGTGGATGTGCATGGTGGTCTAATGCGTTGACCCCTATTGGACTGATAGGTCAACCCGGCATGGCTCTGCCTTGCGTCTCACCCACTGCGGTTTGCAAATATCTGAGAGAATCAACAACTTTCTCATCAATTCAAAGGAAATTTGGAGTTATCTATGTTGTCTTTGATTCTGTTCAACATTTAACTTTTTGTTTGCAGTTGCACTCATATTTATGTTATTCTGTGTTTGCTGTTCAGATTTAGATCACTTTGAATTTCTTCTTAGTTTAACTCTTCCTTGGTGTTCCTTCAGTTATCTTATTATTTAGCATTTTTGTGATTTATTAGTCTTTGCTCTAGTTTAAAATATGTCCATTAAATGGAAAAGTGGAAAAAAAATGCAATCCAGTTATGGAACTTATGGAAAACCTCTTGATAAAAAAAAAAAAGTGAAAAAGTAACTGCTGTTTTCTCAGGTTATTTATTTTTTTAACAGTGGTTTTCTTAAAAAAAACACAATACATATATTTATTGTCTCTTTTACTTTTTAAGTTTCTCTTTTTTAAATTAAGTTTTATGAATCAAATTCTTCTCAAATTGTATTTTCTAGAGAACATTCTGGCCCAATCCCAAACAGAAAATTCCAAATTTGGAAAAAGAAAACAAACATCATTAATCGCAAAATAGTAGGTCCTCTTTGAAATTGTTTTAGATGACCGTTAGATTTATTTTTAAGAAAGTGTCAAATGTTTGATGTCATGTCTTCCTGCGCCACAGAGCTACAGCTAGGGTCTCACTGTGTTGCCATAGCAATAGCTTTCTTCCTTTTCAGTTGGAGGTAAGAGACCATCCCGTTCTCATTTATACCCCCCCCCCCCCCCCCCCCTTCAATCAAGGCGCCCTCCACAGCGCCTGGGAGGGACACTTGGTAGTGAAGGGGTAGGGCGTAGGGGGCGGTGTGGGATTGGCACACTCTCTGGACTGAGGGACGAAGATGCATTTCTATCGGTTTGCCTGACATTAGCCACAACACTGTTTATTGGTCAAGAGCAACTGTTTGATCTGTAAAATGCAATTTGAAAATAAATCTGTTTCTAAAACTCAATCTGAAAAAGAGAAAATGGAAAAATTACTTTAAAAAAAGGAAAGTTTAGTAAAAAAAAAAATACAAACAACAAACTTAATCTCTGTTCTTTTCTTATAACAATTCTTACAAAATTCCCTCCATAACCCGATCATGAAAAAAGGCTGAAATATCTTAGACTTAGACAAACTGTATTCTCATTTTCTATACACAGAGTGTATAATTCAATTCAGTTTATTTCTATAGCGCCAATTCACAACACGTCATCTCAATGCACTTTACAGTTCACCAGATCATCCAGTCAGATTGATTCAAAGTTTATTGAAAACCAGTTGATTGCATCGACTCATTGACTCTTCAGCAATCCCTCACATTAAGCATGCTTATAGCGACAGTAGAGAGGAAAAACTCCCTTTTAACAGGAAGAGGCCGACCGGCTATACTAAACAAAATTTTGTTGCGTTTTGTATACGCCGCCATGGCCTAATATGCCTCCTTATAAGGGGAGGAAGATTTCTTGCTGTTGTATGTACCTCTAAAAAAAGTCAGACACATTCTTTTAATGTGATCCGATTGACCTTGACCCTCCTCTATGTTTATGTTCTAGGATTACTCAGCTGTGAAGCTGTGGAGGAACGGCGTCAACGTCTAAATCACCATGATTAGCGGCAGTTCTCTTCTGGTGATGCTCACTCGCTCCAGGAAGGAAGGCTTCCCTCCACTGTCTCTCCTATGGAACTATGGGACATTAACAGCCGTCTCCGCCACCTCATGGGGCTTCTAACCCGCCAAAGACTCTGCTGATGGAGGACGTTTCCATGGCCAACGCTTCCCTGGGCTCCGGGTCCCCACCAGAGCCGGTCACCCCGACGGGGAAGTCGTCAGAAACCCCCGCAGGTGTGGGCCTGCCTCTGCAGGTCTTCTTTAGCCTTGTGATGGTGGCCGTCCTGTTGGTGGCGCTTGCAGGGAACGGCGTGGTGTGCCTCATGGTGTACCAGAGATCCGCCATGCGCTCCGCCATCAACATCCTCCTGGCCAACCTGGCCTTTGCGGACATGATGCTAGCCATCCTTAACATGCCGTTTGCTCTAGTCACTGTCATAACCACCTCCTGGATCTTTGGTGACTCGTTCTGCCGGGTGTCCGCCATGCTCTTCTGGTTGTTTGTGATGGAGGGAGGAGCCATATTGCTTATAATAAGCATTGATCGATTTCTGATTATCGTCCAGAAACAAGATAAGCTCAGCCCACAGAGAGCTAAGCTGCTCACTGTAGTGACATGGGTCCTCTCCCTGGTTATCTCCTTCCCTCTGGCTGTAGGCTCCCCTCCCCTGCAGATCCCCCCCAGGGCCCCCCAGTGCGTGTTTGGCTACAGCTCTGACCCTGGATACCACGCCTACGTGCTGATCCTCATGCTAGTCTTCTTCTTCATACCTTTCCTGGTCATGCTCTACACGTTCATGGGGATCCTGAACACCATCCGCCATAACGCCATCCGCATCCACAGCCACCCGGACAGCATGTGTCTGAGCCAGGCCAGCAAACTGGGCCTGCTGAGCCTCCAGAGGCCTTTCCAGATGAACATAGACATGAGCTTTAAGACCCGTGCCTTCGCCACCATCCTCATCCTCTTCTCCGTGTTTACAGTGTGTTGGGCTCCCTTTACGGCCTACAGCCTGGTCACCACCTTCAGTTTGGGTTTTTACCGCAAAGACAGCTTTTTCCAAGTCAGCACGTGGCTCCTGTGGTTGTGCTACCTCAAGTCTGCCCTGAACCCTCTCATTTACTACTGGAGGATCAAAAAGTTCCGCGATGCCTGCCTCGACCTGATGCCCAAATACTTCAAGTTTCTTCCTCAGCTGCCGGGCAACACCAAGAGGCGCATACAGCCCAGTGCTGTGTACGTATGTGGGGAGAATCGATCCGTGGTTTAGAAGCAGACGATCCACTCGGCTGGCATTGATCCCATCTACCCTGCTTTGTTGTTTGGTTCTCTATTTTTCTCTGTAGAAGCTCAGGCTGAAAGTGGGACTGCGTTGAAAAGGCGGGATGGGATTCCTAGAATCAGTCTAACAATCTGAAGGGAGAACGCTGCACATATTGTTGCTGTTTTTGTTCTGGTTCCAATAGCAAATGTCAGGTCCTTTAAAGAACAGCTGTTAGATTTTAGAGCTTTGCTGAGATCCAGTTGAAATTATTCGAGACTGAATGTTGCCTAAAATAATCAGGGATCCAAACACCTTTTTTTTTTTTTTTTTTTTTTTTTTTTTAGAACAGTTACATTCTGGGTTATTTCTATTTATTTATTTTTCATTTTCTGTATTTGGCTGACCTCTGGAACCTAAGGCACAGTGGCTTTGTCTCATCCAGGAGCCTGTATGAGTCCATTAAGGTTTTTAAGTTCTGAAAGCTTATTTTTAATCATCTTCATTCACCTATTCCTTTAGATTATTGAAGCACAGCCCTCCTTATGTTTAAAGGAAAAGTCCGGTCAGATTCAGAATTCGAAATTTTAAAAGAACTTTAATTATGAAATTATTCCATACTTTTCAATAAATGATCAGTGTTTTTAATTCAGAGTAATTTTCATGTGAATGTGCTTTACTGGAGGCATCCATGTTTGTCAAAGAACACTACTGCCACCTACTGGTTTCTGACGTCACGGTGCGGTATCGGCTTTTGATCAAGTCCCAGTGCTGTATCTGGTGTTTGTCACAACGCGCTATTATCCAAGTCATCTTGAAAACATTCTTCTTCCAAATGTTGGCTACATATTACGGGTTTTTTCTCTGGCCAGAAGTTTGATGGAAATTGGCGCTAGGCTTACTGCACCGTGACGTCACTGCTGGAAGATGGCAGGAGGGAGGGGTTACTATATTTGGGCAAAAATGGCCGCTCCCAGACTAAGTGATCATGACGAAATATTTTGATTTATTTATTTTTTTTTTACTGATTAAACTTAAATTCATTAAATCACCGAAAACGTATTAGTTTTAGGTTTAGATAATGACCCATTGATTATTCCTTGCTAACTGGACGTTTCCTTTAAAAAAAGTGTATAAATTGAGTTTCTCTCCATTAACCATCATCATCTTCTTATAGGTTCATTTGATTCTTTGTGTAAAAAAAATTAAATGCTTCATTATAAGGTAAAGAACGTGTTTAAGATCTAAACTTTAAGTTCAGAAGTTTTCTTTAGACATTCAGATATTTTTCTAATAGATGTTTGTTTGATCCTATTAGCATCTGGATCACAAGACCAGATGAAAGGAGCTGGAAACAACGTTGGACATTTAATAGATTGGAGTTGTTCATACAGTGAGTTAAGTTAAGGTGCCAAAGAAAGCACAGACTCCTTTTTAGTGATTTTCTTTCAGACATTAAAGTCAAAAGTAAATCATAAATAGACAATGGATTCTTTTTATCAGCAGACTAGAATTACTGCAGCAGACGCCATCTTTAGGGTCGCTAGATGCTAATGGTTAGCCTGATACCGTCACCACCACCAGCGCTTTCTTTTTCCCACCAGCCATTTTAAAGCGGCAGCCATGAGGTTTTCCTAACAGAAAATCCAAACTGCATTTCTATTGATGATCAAATTATAATAATGATAAACCAACTACTTCATGGACAAACTGCAGTTTAGGCATGAAGAGTTTTTTTTTATAATATAATAATTGAACTTTATTGATCTCACACTGGAGGAACTCCCTCTGTGTATTTAACCCATCCCCTTGGGGAGCAGTGGGCTTACATTGTGCGGCGCCCGTGGAGCAGTGTGGAGTTATCGGTCTTGCTCAGGGACCCAGATTGGCAGTCTGTGGGAATGAGTGGGATTTTAACTCAGAACCCCCAGGACCCAAGCTTTATGCCCTAACCCCTAGGCCCCACCCCTTTTTTAATAGGCCCCTCATGTTAAAAGAAGAAAAGAGGCGCAGGCTTAGGGACACTTGAGGAGTTGCACCTTTCAGTTGCTCCAGTCTTCTCATCATAATGATTCCCTGTCTGTTAAGATGATGCAGTCACACAACATGATCAGATCGCTCAGATCACAACTGTGATGTTGCCATTGGCAACAGGTCTGTTACTTGGTGACAGGGCAGGAAGAAGTGTTATTCAGGCCCAAACATTCCTTTCAAGGTGAAAATCACTCTTCCTTTTTATTTTATTTTTTTTTACAAATGCAGCAAAATCTGAAAAACAAAGGTAAATAAGAAGAAGGCCATCAGTTTCTGAGCTGCAGCATGTTAGCCTGGTAGGCTATGTTTACATAGCGAAAAAATGCCACCCCATTTGATCTTTTTGTCTCTATCTGCTTTTTCCTCCTGTGCATGCGGATGGTCTCGGTGTCCCAAACAGTTGGTGCAGCAGCCTGACGGTCATTACCTTGAATTAGCAGAAAAATCAGAATGACCTGCGGAGCGAGCGGCTGTAGGGTCAGTGTGTCTTTCCGTCATTAGACTTTTAAAAAAGGCTATTTGATTATAAATCAATAAAACAAAACGAATCATTTTCTTTCTTTTTGTTTTGCCAAAAAGAAGCGGTCGAAATGTTTAAATTTGCTTATTTTTAAATATTTTTTTTTACTTTGGATAATGGTAAATACAATAATTGTAAAGCTATTGTGGAGCATTTTCATGAAGTTTTTTAAAAGAACCGCTCTCTCCACTAAAAAAAATGCACATGCACAAACCCATTTCTTCTCGTGCACGCTCTTTTTAAAAGTTGCTGTTCTCAAAGCTCATATAAGCTTACTGTGTCCTAACCCCTAAATTCCTCAATTACTATATAGAGCGGGGACTATATAGTGGACTTTACAGTGAACTCAGTTAACTGACCGTTCAGACAGATGATCACAGCCCAGTTGCTCACGTAACTCCTCCACCACTGCGCAATGCCTGCTGCATCTTTGTTATTAGCAAATCCCATAATGCTCTCCGCACAAAGCATTCTGGGATATATCTGCCTCTTCTGAGGCCTAACATTTCTTCTTAAACACTTCGTAAACACTTTTTCTCTTACGACCCTCTGCCATTTTCAAAGAACCGCTGTGGGAAAGGTGAGCTTCAATGAATGTCTGAAACAGAAAAAGATAGCTAACTTAATGAGCAGGTTGGACGACCTTATATAAACATATCACCAGAATGATTGACAATTAGGAGGACCTCTAATTAGGATGATCCACTTGGAAATAAAAGGCAGAAAAAAGAGGGCCTGCTATTCCCTGGCAGGAGGGATAAATAAGTTGTTTTAGCTCAGAATGAAACGACTTTACTCCCTCAGTTATGATTTTAGATATGGCCAGTGGCTTGTTCCTCCACTTACAGCGCCTTGGTGCCTAGTTGGTCCTCCTTGGTAACGGCCACTTAGTCCCATAGCTTCCTGTTCTAGCTTATGCTTTGAATGAAGCATTTCTCTGCCCTTTGTGCAATTCCAACAAAAATGTGAAAAGTTAAAATCCACTGGACTTTGTTTCCAAGTTTGAAGACGTTTCGCTTCCCATCCAGGAAGCTTTTTCAATTCAAAATGTTAGAAATTTGGAATGGGGTGGACCCATATCAAAGGGTCGACCCCTTTATAATGAGGGTTGGACGAACGGGGTGGACTAGTTCGTCCGATTCAATTAGCATGTTTTTTAAACAAAAGCAAGGCTTTGTTGGGCTACTGAAAAAACCTGGAACTCAACGCTATTTCTGACATTTTGAATTGAAAAAGCTTCCTGGATGGAAAGAGACACGTCTTCAAACTTGGAAACAAAGTCCAGTGGAAGGTTTTTTAACTTTTCTAACTTTTTTGGAATGACTATGATCTTGATGATCGAGAATCTTTCGCAGCCATTTGTGCAATATTCAGTTAATGAAAGGGAACCAACAGACGCCTGCCTTGTTGAGATCATTGCAGCAAAAGGTTCAACATAATGAAAGTGTCCATTTAATTCACTCCAGGATCCCGACCCCTTCCTTTGTCACCCAGAGGATGCTTGGTCTTCTCCTTTATATAAGTACTGTGCTGTTAGACGTCAAAGCCCGTAGTGAATTACCAGGGGTGGGCAGTTCCAGTTCCATCTGCATCTTTCAGATGTGCCGTTGGTTCAATACAATTCAGAGGATTCTGGAGGAACTGAATGAATACTGAGGAGACAAAAGACACACCTGAATCAGATGTGTTGGACCAAGGGGGAATCTAAAAGTTGCAGGGTACCGAGCCTCAGGAACTGGAATTGCCCGCCCCTGATGTAGGGGATGCACTGGCATTGCTGTTAGTTTATTCTGATTCTGAGAAAATGAACCAAACAACCGTCAGATATTCTCCTCATCCGGGACTATTCCACCAGATTCCACTGCAGCTGCTTTTGCATTAGAGAGTCTTTGAACAAGTTTCAGAGCAATCCATGTTTTGGACCACAGTGGCATTGAAGCTTAAGAAGCCATATGAGATTTTAGCCAAAATCAGGCAAAGAAGGTGAAAGATGAACTCAGCTAGCACCATGAACCCAGTGGATTCTCCTTTTATCTGCCCGGAATTGGAAAACAAAAGCGTTGAAATACCTTATCATCCTGCTGCACAGCTCGGCCCTTAGAAAAAAAATCACCGTTAGAAAATACAGCTAAAGACTAATAAATGAGGTGTTATTCCACCCGGAAAGCACTGAATACCTTGGAGTGTGTGAGGGTAACAAACAGGAACTCATTCTCCTTCTTTTTCCACGTTATTTTTTTCCTCTTAAAGGACAGGCTGAGCTTTTAATCGACCTCATCTGATTTCTTGCACTGAAAACTTGTAAATCCTTGGGGAAAGAACAGAGTGTACAGGTGCTGGTCATAAAATTAGAATATCATGAAAAAGCAGATTGATTTCAGTAATTCCATTTAAAAAGTGAAACTTGTATATTATATTCATACATTACATACAAACTCATATATTTCAGATGTTTATTTTGTTTAATTTTGATGATTACAAATGACAACAAATGAAAATCTCAAATTCATCATATCAGAAAATTAGAATATTACTGAAGACCAATAAAAACAAAGGATTTATAGAAATGTTGGCCAACTGAAAAGTATGAACATGAAAAGTATGAGCATGTACAGCACTCAGTATTTAGTTGGGCCTCCTTTGGCCTGTATTACTGCAGCAATGCGGCGTGGCATGGAGTCGATCAGTCTGTGGCACTGCTCAGGTGTTATGATAGCCCAGGTTGCTCTAATAGTGGCTTTTAGCTCTTCTGAATTGTTGGGTCTGGTGTATTGCATCTTCTTCTTCACAATACCCCATAGATTTTCTATGGGGTTAAGGTCAGGAGAGTTTGCTGGCCAATTAAGAACAGGGATACCATGGTCCTTCAACCAGGTACTGGTAGCTTTGGCACTGTGTGCAGGTGCCAAGTCCTGTTGGAAAATGAAATCTGCATCTCCAAAAAGTTGGTCAGCTGCAGGAAGCATGAAGTGCTCTAAAACTTCCTGGTATGTGGCTGCGTTGACCCGTGACCTCAGAAAACACAATGGACCAACACCAGCAGATGACATGGCACCCCAAACCATCACTGACTGTGGAAACTTTACACTGGACTTCAAGCAACGTGGATGAAGTGCCTCTCTTCTTTTCCTCCAGACTCTGGGACCTTGATTTCCAAAGGAAAT